CTGGAACCCGAGTTATGAATTTCCGGTCAAACACACACACACACACACACACGCACAGACAGACAAACCAACAGACACACTTAGCGCGTTATATATAGTAGGATTATTCGTATCGCAGTTTTCATAGTGATTGGCACTGAAATTCATTTCTTTCCATACGTGGTTTACAATGAGATAGTATAATCCATAATGCGTGCTCTTAGTATGCGGAATGTGATAACATCCGTATATCGCAGCCATCCTGCACAGGAATGGGTTCGTAGGCCCAGGTAAGCGCTTCGAGGGAACTCAGCGCTGGGCTAGCGACCCCTCACCGTACTGCGAGGCAGTACCAGCCTGTAGGAGGACGCAAGGGGGACTAGGCAGCCCAAGACCGTGTGGCAGTTGTACACGAGCATAGCGAGCACCAGAAAACCCCGGTAACCTAGCTCATGCCGCTGTGGTCGCCCTGTCGAGCAACATGCGGAATGGCCTCGGCGGGTCGGCCCAACGGCGCAACAAGCTCCAAAGACGTTTTTAAGCTTTAAGAACTATTTTTCCGTGCTGATATGAGCTACATGCTGATGTGTTTTCTAGTGTAACAAAACATGCTCCAAACAATTGAATCTCTGCCCACGCTCTCCTTTATGAACGTTCCCAAGGTGCGGCTCTTATTGGTTAGTAGTTCCCTCTGAGGGGTTGAGTTTTGAGAAGTTGACTGTCGAAAGTATTCGAATAGGTGTTATCAATAAGCACGTCAACAGAAAAAAAGTTTAGCGTCGAGATTGAAAGTTACGTTCACGGTAAAAATCTTACTCAGCTGCTGAGCAATCGCCCTTGGATACCACCACTACGCAAACTTTTCATTCACTCATCCTGTGGTAATGGCTCTCACCGTTGCCCAAAGATTTCAATCACAACTATGATCCTTTCAGCTTTCAGTGAGATAGAAATGATAAGAGAGAAACAAGCTTTCATGAGCACTCAGAAAACATACACGGAAAACCTTCGAAATCCATATATGTAAGCGACAGCGATGAGCTGTAGTAATCCTAGTATGAATGTGGCGTCCTTGCACACTTTGGCTAGCAATAAAACATGCATGAAACCACCTAAATAGGTTATTGTTTTTGATGACTAACCAAGTTAGCCGATATATGGCCAACAGCAGGACGTTACTGAAAAATATATGGAGCGAAATAGATTTATTTACAGGGTTTTGTACGTGAGAAGTTACACTGATGTGTTGCAATGAAAGGGTATGGGCACTCACCGGGCAAAATGAAGAAGAAACTGGTGATGACACTGAGAATGGTCATAGCTACAAGAAGTAAGACGGCTCGTGCACTGTGAAGTCGCTGCCGAAAAGAACTGGCATATTTTTCATGCAACATTGACGTTAAGACCCACAAATAGATTACCTAAAAACGTTGTCATACTCTGTAAATCGGATTCGATCTCTTTGGATGAGAACCCGATCTCAATGTGAAACACTGTGGAGGTGTGAATAGGAAAAAAATCGCGCAGAAGACCCTTAGAAGCACCCACCAAAACTTGAAAGGGCACGATTGCTAGCTGAAGGAAATAAAATCCTGCCATAGCCCAGCCACCACTAACACCGGTAATTGTCTAAAACGAAGTCTTGAAGATGATCAAAGTTCTGCACCTCTTACAGAACCTACCTCCACTACGAGCATCATTGACATGTAGTTGTGAACAAGTGCGAAATGAAACCGCTTGTCTGGGGGTTCGAACGGATACAAATCAGCTGAAACAAGAATCTTCGAAGGCACAGTTCACGTTAATCTGGACTTTAGCATCTACTCTAAGACGAGTAATGGAAGCGACACTCCAGACTAGTGCGAAAGTTACTATGGAAACGCGATAATCGGCGTATTCTGAGGAATATGGGGCTTGAAAAGTAGCAAAATCGGGTTCAACACGAGCAAAGACGACAAAAGTTGATGGAAGGGATTTTTGGACGAGTTGTACCGCCGCTGGCAAAGGAACGTCCGTTCCGCGCTGTCGTCGAAACTTGTCACTCCGCCCCTTCGCGCCCACTGCAATCTCGAGACGACATTACAGTGCCACTAAGTGTCAGTGGAACGAATGATTGGCCCTAGTCCGTGTTATCTTCTCTTTAAACTGATTGCCGTGGACCGAGCGCAATTCGCATGCCCCGTTGACAACTCCGACGTTTGTCAGGCATAGCGGGCTGACCCGCCGCATGCGACAACTGCGGCGTGACCTAGTTTGGACGAACGCGCGGAACGAAGTACCTTCCCCCCCAAGGCCACTTCCACACAAGCTCCGCTAATGTTCAGATGCATTTGGTCGAATCTAACCGCTGAAGGAATCGAATCCATAAAATGACGTGCTTAGTTCCACGTTGTTCATCTTCAGCTTGTGCTGTGGGTCACAACTTTATGCAAAATTTAGTACATATGGTACAAGGATAGAGAATGGTACCTGCATATTTCTCCATGAGAGCCATCATGGATATGAGAGTGATGGCATTAACAACTACTGTGATGACTGCAATGAATATCACATCAATCGCAAGGGAGTGGTGAAATCCTCGAGCGGAAGCAATTCTGATCACTCCGCCAGTAGAGACACTGAAAATGTCTTTTTCACCGCGAAAAAAACGAAGTAAAGAAAGAGAGAAAAAGAAGTGTTGTTTTCTAGTGATCTTACATTGCTACTTCTTCAAAGGCCAGCTCGCTATAGTTTTGAAGTAATCTGCTTGTATTAAAAAGCAGAAGTGTTGGTAAAGAGTAGTACATCGGTGGCGAAGGCAATTGGCAGAATTAGTCAAATGCAAGGCTCTTGAAAGTAGGGGAAGCGGGAGTCCTCCGCGAATAACACGACGATTAACATTAACATGCTATGGAGGGAGTATTTAAACGAGATTTCAAATGTTGCAATTGTACAAAGAGTTCGCTACGTTAAGTCAGGAATGCTTGAAAAAGAATTTCTATTGTCGCCATGGATTAGGTTTAGTTGTTCGGTTTTCCAATATCGGTGTCCCTTGAGAATGGTGCAGCGTCTACAACGCCGTCGAAACTCGTCCTTCTTTGGATGTTGAACTCGTCCTTCTTTGAGTGTTGCGTGCAGTCGATACAGTCTCTGAGCTCTTGAAACTCCCTATCTTGACCGCTTTTCGATCTAACAGTGCCACATATGGCATTCTTAGATGCCCAGACCCATTCTGAAAGATACTATACCGAGAAACAATTTTTTTCGTAAGCCCCTGAATATCTTTCTGCAAAAAAGTTAGATGTTGAATGCCCTTTGTTGGGACTTCCGCCCGACTCCTCAGAGAGCCACACCTTGTAGGCTATAGGGGTCAAGGCGTATCGGCGCCTGAGCGTTGCTATACTAGCTCTGCCCTCCAAGGAACCCGCATCTCTTGCCCACCGTAAATCAATATTTCGATTGTGTTTTTTTTTTGTAGTTTAGGTCAATGCATGCGTAGGGGAAATGACCAAGGCCCGCCGTCATCTGAAAAACTACCTTTGAACCCAATTAGGTTATTATTGCCCCGTAGGGAAACGACGGGTAAAGGCCTAGTCCACGATGAGAATGGTTACTGAGTTCTGCCCTTGGGAATACCCAGCCTTCCCACCCCTCGACCGATGTCACGCCAGAAGAGTGCCAACGGGATACAGATTGCAATTATTCGTTCTAGGGCCTACACACATCCAGCTGACCGCCGAGTAATGAGACGGTGCTTTTCCCCCATTCTTTATTCTGTGTTATTCTTTTTACTGCTGCGCTCCCTAATTTGATTTTCTACCCTAGGAGGCTGAAGGAAATAGGCTAATTTTGCTGTTTTAGGGGGATTTTTTTTGTTAATTTATGCTTATGAGTGAATGAATATTTGTTCACCGTAGTCAGCGCCATTTTTCTGGTCTCATTCTCGTCCAGCCCCTTTTTGACGAAATTTCGAAGCCTTTTTTCACTTTGGAAACAACAAACAATGATCGTGAATTGTGCCTTTGACTAACATGTGTGTTCGTTTAGCTTCATAGTCGCAGTAGGTAAGAAAAGGCTTGGCTCCACTTCCGCTGAAACCACCCTTCAGTTCGTCTTCGCTGCCCCAAGTTTCGTGGCTTCCGCCCGACTTCTTGAAGGGCCAAACCTGGTAGGGCGCGCGGGAGTCTCGGCGCGAACAGCGTATTGGCGCCTGCGCGTCGGCTATACTAGACGCGTGCTCTGGACTGAAACATCCGGCAGATGTCTGCCTGTCGTAGTCGTATCCGGGTGTCACTGCCCATCGTCCTGTTGTCGAACCCGCCTGTTCGAGGACGAAGACATACAGACAGCCCTACCGATCGACTCGGGCATAGAAGTCCGAAGGCGCCGAGCGATCCCAGGCCTCGTCACTTCCGACAGCCGTAACCTACTGGGCTAAGACCTCCCGATACGTCGTAGGTTTACTGGTTCCTTTTGATTCTTATTGGAATATTCACCTATGAAGGACTGTATCGGATGTTGCGTCGAAAGCTCAATATCGTAGATGGTAAACACCGTGGGAGGCTATATCTGGTTCGGTTGATGTAGTTTGGGCTGTGCGTAGACTGCTCCGTGCTGTAGGACGTAGCACGCGCAGGGCGAAGGTCGCGGTGTAGGAGCAGTGTAGGGGTTGCAAGGGACAAAGAAACATCCCGCGTGGCAAGTGCGAGAGCGAGAGTCGCGTAAGGCCCGATCGGACATTCACGTCGACGGCGACGCTGCTCCTAAGCGTGGCGAACCCCGATGCCCATCTACAGCGAGGAAGAGTTCGTCACAATCGGCGCGACACCCTCGATTTGTCAAATAATGAGGAATGGCTCCGAGAAAACCCAGAATTGAGTCGAAATTGTTGAATATGATTTTGTGAAATAAATTAACCACAGCGAAAACTTGCTTGAGTGTAATCAATGCTTGTCCTGCTGCAGCAACCCACTTATCCACGCGGTACAGCGACTTCGGATGAGGCTCATAAAAGTGACGGAGTGAGAAAAAGACGTCACCAGTGGTGAATGCTGTAAAACACAGAGAGAATGAAATGAACAAATAACTTCTCGCCTCAGTAAATCAAGACGCCCAAGAGCCGTTAAGGGTATAAAATCAACTCGAAAGCAAGACCCCGGAATTCAGATATTTCGAATCGTTCGTTGTTTCATCTTCGCTACATTGAGTCCATGTTTTCTTCTTAGTGATGGCTCGTCTTGAACTGGAGGGGCTCGAGGTACGTGTGTGTTCAATGAGTCCAGCATCCCAGGTTTCCCGCATTGAAAAGCATGCATATAGAAAGACTGAGACGTACGTATCTAAGACTTGGTCAAAGGCGGTTGAGCAGAAATTCCGATCCCGATGTGGCACATTCACCTGTGGTACCAACCTAACGCCATCATTTTGCTAAAAGGGCCTCGCTCCCAGGGATTTGAAGAAACCAGTAACAATGCACCTTTAGGTAGGATCACCTTGATGAGCTACAACAATTACAGGGACACAAGAAAATGCCTATAATCGGATTGAATAGACGACGATTCAAAATTTCGGATGTGAAATAAATAGATAGATTTGAAGATACAACGAACCGGCAGAATCGAAATTGACTTGAAGGAGATAAAATAGGAAGTCTTAAAATAGATGAGGTATGAAGTCAAAAACTCAATAAAAACTCACCGAGAACTATCAGCATAACACAGCATAACACTGCAATAGCTATTACGACACATGACAATTTAGTAATGACACGAATTCCAGCCGATGCTACCAGTATAGCAAGGATCCATGTGAGCACCAAAGTGCCAATTAGTATAGGATCAGGCGTATAATTTTCCCGAAATATAATCTTCGATTCGTCCTGCAAAAAGTTGTCGAACCGAACTTCAGACTAGGTACGTGGCCATTTGATGGTCTGACTTTCATAACAGAGGTAACCGTTTGCCGAATTCACGGCATGTGGCAATGGATTAGGTTCCGCTAGTTCGGGCGGGGTGGACTTCAGAAACACTGACTTCGCTTCAGCTTTCGAGGAATAGGACCGATGGAAGCTCACGTTGCAGTGCCCTTTCAACGGTACAAACGCAATCCACGGCATCAATGAAATCAACAGAAAAGGTTTTCAAGCAGTGACCGTTTTGAGCTACGATTTTCTCACTCTTTGTAAAGAATTGCTTAGCATCCTGGTAAAAACAGTACCTCCTGTAGAAACTTCTGTGAAAAGTGTATAACCGGAGTGGTTTTCTTGAAATCCGCCCTTGTGTTGCTCATGGCCGAAAGAAATTGTTTACAATTAGCATCATTCGGTGCAGCAAACGTACAGTTTTGAGCGAGACTAAAAAGAAATTCCGTACCTCCGAAATATACGTATTCAAAATATTATAACGATCGGATCGTCCGTATAATATGAAGCTTTTTTTTCATAAAGAAACCAAAGTTCCAGATTAAGGACTGTGCAGTCATAAAATCTAGCATCTCGGTACAACTGAACAAATGTTTGTCATGAAAAATTTTCAAGTAAGAATGCTCGGAATTATTTGGTCACTGTGAACATGATATACAAGGCTCCAAAGTGGGGAGGTCTGAGAAGTCCGTAATAAAAAGAGTAAAATAGCCATCCCTGTTTGTCTCATGTGAAGTTGCAACCACTTCTTATCGTATGATGCATACCAAACTGACGAACCTGAGTAGTAATCACGGAAGAGCCTAGAAAGTCCAGGAATAACTCACCGGTGATCGTAGCAATCATCCTCCCAGCATCTCGCGTAACGGAGTTCACCCCATGCACCTGATGAAAAAAACTGATATATACACTAGCATGAATTCTCTTTTCATAATACGATAGCACACCTTCCAGAGAAGCGAATGACATCGACAGGAAGACGCTGATCCATACGGAAAGCGCTATGCATCGCACAACAACGTTGAAAGCAATAGCCGCAGGAATACCTGAATGTACAGTGTAGGTGCGTCGTAATCCCCACGCTTTCTCCGTTACTCCGAAGTTTAGGATGTAAGGGGCTAGCGTGAACTTCGCGTAATGCATGTATCACACGACAGTCATATACAGAAACGGTCCTTCTTTGAGATCCCTGAACACTAGATCTCCACAAACCTAATTCAGTCAGTAGAGATCCAATGTTCAGGAGATTTAGAGAAGTGATTGCAGTTCGATTATTCTGGAAGTTTTGGAGCACTGCTTGCCTATCTTCTAGCCCCAGCAGACTACATATTGCTCAGGTCAGGTGCTCATTCTGTTGCCATTACGATCTTAAAAAAAAGTGGAATGCTTGAGCACGCCCCAAAATGAGCTCGGTTAACACCGAAAGTTTTGTCCTTGCTTTACCCTGCTAAGCATACGGTACAATTTGAGCAAGAGAATTTCTAGACTATCTACAAGTAATAATAGCTTGCCTGACATTGCCGATGACAGCATTTGGTAGATGTACCAAGGTGAAGCTGAAGTAAATTGCCCCAATGCGACTTCCACATAATACAGCGGTATAGCTGCGAAGATGTAGCAAACAGTGTACTGCATGAGAAATGTTGCTCCTTGAAGACATCTATTAAGTCAGGAATCTGATTTTGGGAGGTCTAGCCCAGCAACACTACAATATCTAGTGATGCTGGTCCTAGAATCACAAGGTCGAACGCCATCACCGCATTCACTTTGTAACTACATACACCTCATATTCGTACATTCTTGTTTGTTCATTCTGATGACTCTTGATGAGCCCTTTTTGCAAAAAACTAACATCTTTCCTACTTAGGTTTTCCTGTAAGGTCAGGAAACAGCCGAATCCCACATGACCAGGTTTTCGTTTACAATTCGTCCAAGTTATTGTGTTGGTTAGAATTCGTATTCCGTCCTGATGATACAGTTGCACCAAAACTAGAGGTAACGTTTCTCACCTCCTTCAGCTATTGCTGCAGGAAGAAGCCATATATTTCCCGAGCCAATAGCAAATGCGAGCGCTGTACATATGATTCCAGTTCTTGAGACTCTGCCATTGTCTTTAATACTTTTTGCTGAGTTAGGTTCAGCCGATGAGCTGGTGGATCCCTAAAAATTCGGTGGCAATTTTCAAAAACTACAGGCTGAAGAGGTGAAATTGGTATGGGATAGTAATAGTGTGGTTGCCAAGTGGCAACAGAAACAGAATCGCAACAAGATACACACAGCATAATATAATTAAGAAATATAATTCGCCAGAGCCTCATTGAAGAAACTTACTATGATGGGCTTTGAGGGCATTCATCGATTTAGGGGGGAGTCAAGACTCGTTAAGCGATTGTACACTGATCCAACGCGCTTTACAAAGAATTTGTGCCTAAGATTTGAACAAGCTGCTCTGAAGTTTATCTCACTTTGGTTTCCCCTAGTGATTGATGGCAGCATGAGAAATGAATCAGTACATCGAATCTTAACTTGGCCAGTACTAGAGTACTTTGCCGACCATTATCACATCGCTCATCCTCTTCATCGATGATAGCGACTTCAAACCTAGGAGACGGATGCAGAATCCGGTATATCTGTGTATGGTAAATTATGTCAGCGAAAAATCAATTGGCGTGTAAAACTATTTTGAACTGCCCCCATCCGATTCATATTACGGTCTTTCGAGGGGTTGAAGACTGTGCCGTGCCGTGCCGTACTCGGAAATTGGTCTGACATAAGTTTTATAAGGAGGGCTCTAGGATTATTTGATGATAGGGCTTTGAATACATTATGAGCTTTTCTTTGGGCTGTCAAATGGATTTTTAGCAATGTTGGGGGAAATCAAGTTTTTCCTCAACATGGAATTCTAGATCCATTGCAGAAGATCTTACAGTAAGTGCATGTCCATTCGAATTGTATCGAAAATGCCTACTGTTGAAACCGAGATGTAACACCTTGGTTTCTTCTGGGCAAAGTGGGAGTTTCCAATCTATGGACCATTTATACATAGTGTCAATCGCTGAGGCGATCTGTTATACCATTTTCACAGTCAACTTCAGCGTGAATCTTAAGGTCATGTGCATAAGCCTTACATAATAATAATGAGAAATTGATAATGAGTGTGAAGCTATGGTAGAAAGCAATGGCCAGTAACATCTCTAACCATTTCTGGTGACGATTCCGGCTTTTGGTGGCAGACATATGAGCATAGTGTTAATATGATACGAATATGATGAGAATTGATAGTGGACACAAAATGTGATAGCGAGTTATGATAGGCAAAAGTGAAGGGTAAAGATCGCTTTATTCCCAGGGCAAGCGACTGACTGTAGAGCAAGATCAAGTATTCAAGAAAAGGACGTCAGTGAGCATTGATCCAGAGTAAAGAGGATGCCATCTTTTATGCTTTATTTC